CCAAACCAAACACCACCTCTTGAAATTCAATGGCGTTACCATCACTGAATCCCTGACTATCAGCATCCATAAATTGTTATTGATTAGAAACTAAACTGGATCCACCATATAAATACAGTGGCTACAAGAGCAGGTAGGAAGCTGTGAATAACTCACCTCTGGACTCCCTAAAACCTGTCCACCATCTATGAGGCACAAGTCAGGAGTATGATAGAATACTCCCCACTTGCCTGGATGAGTGCAGCTCTATCAACACAAAATGTTCGACACTTTCCAGGACAAAGCAGCCCACTTGATTGGCATCACAACCCAAATATCCACTGTCTCCACCACCAGGAATTCCCTCCCTGACAGCTAATCCTACCTAATTAAATGGACTGCATCAGCTCAAGGCAGCAGCTCACCACCACCTTCAAGGACAACTAGTGATGGACAATAAATGCTGGCCCAGCCAGTGGTACCCACATGCCATGAGTGAATTATAACATAAACACCTCAGGACAACAGTACACATTACATACCTATTGCATTTGAAGTATCTTCACTGTTTTATGGATTAGGATGCATTCCAATTTACACACAGCAAACTTCCACAAATGACAAATTATTCTTTTGGGCCCAAGGACATGGAGGCAGCTTTAAATAAAAAAAAACTTTCTTCCAGTAACATCCACCAAATGGAGCACCAGGGTCCTTGGTTTAATGTATCATCCAAAACACAACACAACACAGTGCAACATTCCCTCAGTGCTGTGCAGGGATTTGCCATTTTGGATTATGAGCTCGAATCTCTTGGGATAGGCCTCCAACTCAAATCTCGACAATCCGAGTTACAAGTGCTTCAGTTGGAGGTGGTGAAACATTTGCCCAGGGTTATATACATCACAAATAGGCCATGCGGTCCAACTGATCTATGCTGGTGCTTATCCTCCACTTGAGCCTCCAATCATTTTTGTTCAAATTTAAGCTTTTCATTGTAACCTTCCAGCCCCTCTTGTGGGAGTGAGTTCCACATTTTCCTCTCTCTGGGTGGAAAGGTTTCTCCCCATTCCTGATTTGATTTCTCACAAACTGTCTTATACTGATGGCTTCTATTTCTGTCTCCACTCGATCAAACCTTTGATTTAAAGACTTCCATTAGGTCACCCCTCTGTCTTTTCTCAAAAGAGAAGCAATCCACCCTGTTGATGCTGTGAATGTAAATTTCAGTTGCCAATGTGAACCCATGTGTGCCCAGAGCTTTAACCTGGATTATTAGTCCCTTGACAATATCACTACACCAGAGACTCGCCCGCTGAGCAACAAATTGTTTATTAACTAAATCTGAAATAAAAGGCTAGCATCAGGAAGGGTGACCATGATCTGCTAATTTTATAATATCTTTTAGAGAAGGAAATTTGCTGTCTTTACCCAGTCTGTCCTACGCATGACTCTAGACCCACAGCAATACGGTCAACTCTTAATTGCCATCTGAAATGGCTGAACAAGCAGCTCAAATTTGTAAGCGAGAGGGTGACCCATGATCACCTGGGAGTGGGGAGCAGTGCACATGAGACAGAAACAGGGACTTAGACAACCTCAAACAAGAAAAATGACTGATGGAGATTGAAACCAGTCAGAAGAATACAGAACACAGAACATTGCTTTATTCAAATCAAAGAGCAGAGAAAGTGAAAAATTCAAACATATTTTGTCTTCACTTTGCCTTTGCTGAAATGGTGCCAGAACAAAATTAACCCAAAAAAGTATATATATTTTTATATATATTTATACTGCACCATCACCAGCCTCCGTAAAGGAACAGGGTGGTCAAGAAAACAACCCCATTCAATGCAAGGACAGTTGATAAAGATGGAGTGCTTGGGGTTTTAAAAAAAAAATTGTAATTTTTAAAACACTTTTTAAAAAAAACTGGCCCATCAGGACAGAGTTTACATTCTCACCCCTCCCTCCCCAAAATATCTAAATTCAGAACACATACCTATCATTCATTGACATTTTCTTCAAGAAATTACACAATGCAAACCCACCAACAAGAATAGCTACAGATAAATACAGTCTCTAAAAACATACTTTTTTTTCTTTTTAAAAATGTTTCGTTATCCTTCAACACAACACTAACATTTGTTTCTGCAGCCCAGTGGTTACACTGTGCACAATTTTTTTTTCTATATATAATATATACAAAGTTAAAGTCAGCAACATACAATAGCGGGCTTTTTGTTTTTAAGAAAAATGCTTCTCTCTCTTCCTTTTAAACACAAGCGACCTGTCTCAGTAATGAGTTTGGTTATGCTGACGCACGCTGCAGGAGTTATTTTTAAGAAACGGCTTTTAAAAATCTGATGAGTGGGGAAAGCCCAGCACTTTCAAAGTGGGAGGAGGTTGGGAAGAGAGAAATGTATGGGAACCATAAACTATATTCAGGTCTTCAACAAACACAATGACCTTTATTAAGAGAGAATTTTTATTATTATAACGCAGGCTCATAGACTTGTCAGGTGAGGGAGTTCTAGGATTTTGGCCTAGCACATCCTCCTCTCACTGGTATTTAAAATTCAATGGCAATCCCAGTGCTTAATCTCCCACCACCAATATCCTTGACCACTGACCAGAAACTGATGGACAAGCCATATAATGACCATGACTACAACAGCCAGTCAGAGGCTGGGAATTATGCAGCAAGTAACTCACATCATAACTCCCCGAAAGCCTATCCACCAACTATATGGCACAAGTCAATCTACAACATGCATTGCAACAACTCATTGAGAGCACCTTACAAACCCATGACCTTTACCATCAAAAGGACAAGGGCAGCAGATATATGGAAACATCAGCACCTACAAGTTGCCTTCCAGGCAATGCACAATTCTTACTTGGAAATATACTGCTGTTTCTTTACAATCACTGGATCAAAATATTGAAACTGCCTAACAGCACTGTTATAGCACCACGTGGACGGCAGCAATTCAAGGTGGTGACTCACCATCACTTTCCCAAGTAGCAAGTAAGAATGGGTACCAAACACTGACCTAGTCACTAATCCCCAGCTCCCCTCAAAGAATTAAAAGAACGTCACTGGCTCCCTCAAATTATCCTCGCCACTTTCTCACTCCACCCTGCAACAGAATATCAAGTCCTGCCCCTTAGTCTCCAGTGTTTAATCCAGCAAACATAACAGTCTGCAAAGTGTTAGCACTGGAAGGAGATATCAATTTTTCACCGGGACATTATCCCCTTGACCGAACCTTTTGTTCAATTGCTTTTAGGGTTCTAGTTGAGGATAATCCAACTGGAAGAGGAGTTGGGACCTCTCTGTCACTATCTACAGCACATATCGTTAGAAAATCTCTGAATGGATCATTTATGCCTAATTTGTCGTCATGGCAGGGCTTTCTAAACTAACTAATGTATCAGATGTATTCAACTAGTGACACAATATCAACTGTGCATTTTACATATTAGATACTTGACAACCTAGCCAATCAGCCAATGTTACCTCTCCTCCGTTGGCTACATCATACAGTGCCAAGTCACTGCAATGTATCCCTCACCAACTGGGCTTGGCTCACAATGAAGGAGTGTGTGGAAGGAGGGAAAAAAGCAGGGTGGTTTGCATGCAGAAACCCACCAAATGCCTGCTGCAGTCTGTAGTCGACTGGACGCATACATATCCCACTTACCTTTTGGGATAGGTGGAATGGCCACTCTCTAGAAAGATACCTTGCCCAATCAAAGCAGGATGGTGTGATGACATTGGGCAGAAGAGAGAGAGGAAGAAAGAAAGAAAGAGAAAAGAGAGAGTATTGACCAAGGTCAACAGGGCAACTCACAGACCCCATCTCTCAAGCTAGGCTACAGTTAGGAGAGAATCTGTTGAATGATGAGTAAATTCACCTGACAACACAATGAACAAAACTGATTCGCTTGAAAAGACGGCAGAAACTTTCATAGATCTAGTGGTCCAATGATGGCAACTGTGCTTCAAAGGATTCCCACCAGAGATGGAATTTTCAAAAAATTATACTTTTAAGAAAAAATAAACCTTTCTTACACAATTTTGAAGCATCACAGGCAACCGGCAGTAAAACTGTTTCCTATCACTCTGGAAACAGATATGGCAGTGCCTTTTTCAGATGGACCAGGGACAGGCCCTTTACAGCCAGTGAAGTGCTTTTGCATTGTAGGAGGTGCAGCATCTGATCTGTGCAAAGCAAGATCCCAAAGACAGATTTTTGTTTGTGAAGTTGGTTTGAGAGAGAAATTTTGGCTGTGCAAGAATGGGAGTGGAAGGGGTCTCAAAAGTATATTAAAATAGGGAAAACAGAGATACTATGCAGATCATGCAGCATCCATTGCAGTCTTTTGGGGCATGAAATCTTCATTCACCAAGCCCCCCCTCCAACACCCTTTTCTTCAAACATTACACATTGGCAATATTTCCCTGTTATGGGAAAGAATTCAAACATGCAAGGCACTGACTTGCGTCCTCCCAACAGGCAACAGAAAGATCTTCAAATGAGACAAAGACACAGTTGGTCAACTCCTCAAAATTGTTCCTTCTTTTAAGAAGGGTCATATGGCACTGGGTGGGGAGAAGTAATAATAATGAAGGTTTCTTAAGCAGGCTGGATCTCACAAACAATAACATCCCTTCTGGAACCTCAACAAGTTGAAAATCTGTCACCAGCGATCACCGAGAACTAGATTCTGCACTCACTCACTACTCTCACGCTCTCTCTGGGGTGATCAATACAACCAAATAACCTATCTAATTAACCACTCACCCCAAGCTCAAGGAACTGAGGGAAGGGAGTAGTTGCACAGCATAGCTCAGCACAGAAAGAGGACATGTGACCCAAACCAGCACTGGTTTTATACTTTCTTCTTCCCACTCTTTCAAAATCTCACCATCAGCACAAATCTCTCTATCCCATTCTCCCTCACGTTACTCCTTAAATGCATCCACACTCGAACTCGGTCTGTGAGAGTTCTCATCACTGTCCGGAGGGAGACACTTCTCCTGAATATTCAAAAGGATTTCTTGCCTTTTATCCTAAGGCCTCTGGTTCTGCTTTTCCCACAAGAGGAAACATTCTCGCGGATCCACTCGATCTTAATCTTTCTGCACTTTAAAGACCTTCAATAGGTCATTGATCAGCCGTCTCTTTTCCAAGACGCTCAGTTTGCTGAAACGTTCTTGATCAATAGCAGAATTTCAGAGTTATTCCTAAAGAGCAGTGGAATATAGGATATAGGACTTGGTCGTTCAGCCCCTAGAGCATGGTCCACCAGTCACCTGGATCACGGCAGATCTTCATTTAAGTCACTCACCCCACATTATCCCCATTTCACTTGAAAGCTTCAGTCGCACAAAATCTACCAATCTCTGCTTTGAATATGCTCAATGGCTGGCTACACAGCCCTCTGTGATAGAGAATTCCAAAGATTCACAACCCCGAGTGCAAAAAAAAGCCTGCTATCTCAGTCCTAAATGGCTTAGTTCTTATTCTGGAACTGTGTCCCTGTTTCAGGATCTCCCATGCTCCTTGCCAAAGGAAAAAGCAGGAGGGATGTTCCCATGCAAATTTCATGTAAATTTCGTCTTTTGCTTCCAGTAAGAACTCCAACTTCAGTCTAATACCAAATGTCGATACATTTACTGGCACCCAGTCAAAGATGAACACAAGAGTTGAATTTCCTCAGGGGTTCTCCCAAGCTCCCACCCTGATGGTTTCACTAAGTGAAATGGCAACAGGTTGGGCTTCCCCAGTGGGTGATTGGAAAGTGGTTGTCTACAACCAGAGTCTGGCTGGCCGTGATGGATTGGCAGGCTGCTGCTTTTATCACCCTCCCAGAATGTCAGCTGAAGATTTGGAATGTGGGGTGGGGGAGTGTTAAGCAGGGTCCAGTCCCTGCCAGCTAATATAGTAATTAACACAATCGTGAAGTGGATTGTCAACTTGGCCAAGCGACTGTAGTCCACCCACCTAACCCTTCAATAGTGGCACCCCAATTTTTTGTGGGATGGCTCTGGGCAACAGTTGGATGAGTGGTGGTTATGGCACAATGCACCACTAGGTGCCCCAGGTCGCACCAAAGTGCTGCTGACCGACATATTAAACAAATAAAGGAATAACAGTGTCTGTTAACCAGAATAGCACCACGTTTTGGCTCAGTGCATGAACAGTCAGAAAGGCAAGGAAATCAAAATCAACACTGGCGTTAAAACAGATGTCTGATTGACTACTGAGACACATCAAGGCAAGATTACTGTGGAACAAATTGCACTAAACCCTCTCTTTTACTTCAATACTCCATTAATACTAGACTCTTACCTCAGCATCACATCTACCTGATGGGGCTTGTGATATTCAGGTTAAGAGTAGCAAATCAGCTGGTTGTGGCAAGTTAACAATCCTGCTGCTCGTGTACTGTCATGGTCCTCAAAGTTCACAAGCACTGCAGTACAGGAGGGAATGTGTGGAGTGTATTCCAACTTTATAAATGCTGCCCCCCTCCCCACACACACACATACACTTGGGAGAGGGCAGGTGGCAGCTGCACTTCCCAACAGAGGCAAATGACAACCTCACAACAATCCTTGGATGGGTGGATGGGTTCGTGGGGGTGGATGGATGAGTTGATGGGGGTGAGCAGAAGATTATAAGCATTGTGCATATTGGCTAAATACTTCCCTAGATGTCTCCTCCCTTGCCTATCGCATGTTAAAGACGGTCAGTTACACAAACCCTGGATTGCAGGAAACAATGACCGCCCACAGTGATCAACAGCGCAGTTCGCATCTCTTCTTCCAATAGTTTGAAAGCACAAAAAGGTTCTTTAAGACACAGCTGCTTTTTACCAACATCTGGAAATATCTGCCAGGTATGATGGAGAGAGTCTTCTGTCTCCAGAGACTTTTATTTTGGGGAAAAGAGGGTGTGGAGTTGGTACCAGTGCAGGACATTTGTGATGGCTGGTTTACCTTGTGCAGGGAGCAGACAGAGCACCATTCCCCCAGGAAAAAAAAACTCAAGTCATAGGCATGAGCTGTAGGCTGATCCTAAGAGCATGGGGAAATGCGGATGCCAGCTGCTTCATCACTGCAGTTGCCTCCTTTAATGGTCTCACAACAAAAACAGCAAAAGTAAAACACAGCACCAGGCCATCCAAGACCAATACCATCAGAGAGTCCCTGCCCCAGCCCTCTCCAATTCGTCTATTACCAGAGAAAGAACTACCAGCTTCTTCCTGCAAATGCTTCGGACTATATTGTCATCATAGGTAGGCTCATAAGGAGCCATCATGTCAGAAGTACCCTGTTATTAAGTGAAAGTGATTGCTCTTTTATTAACATACAATGCACTGATGATAATGGCAAAAAGGATTCACTTCTGCGATTGAGGAGGATATGGCACAGAACCAGTCAGGACTAGAGCTGCCTCCAAGTTGTGTGTGTGACCTCGCAGAGGTTCCATGCACACCAATCAACATACCAATGCATCGACTTCTGGTTTCAGAAGCTGGTGCCATGCACAGACCTCAGATGTTCGCACAGTGGGAGAAAGCAATTAAGCAGAAACATAGGTCAGGATTTGGCTGATTTTAAAGAAAGGGAGAAAATGGCAGAGGTAGGGTGGGAGTGAATGTTGAAAGTTAAGGTGAGTGGGACTCAAGGGTGGGGGAGTATTACAGACAACAACAGCACATACCCTGGAGTGTCATCCTCACCTAGCACTGACCAATAGCAGTGATCCTTTGCTGCACATGGGCCATTTATTTGTGAAAATTTAACACATCTCACTCACTGTGAGGCAGGACACTGTAATTTTGGGAGGATACGGGGAAAAGAAGAGTAACGTTGCTCAAAGGAGACATCAGTCACAATATGATTTTGAAAGAAACACACTCTCGCTCATGCATTCACACGCAAAACCTGGAACCAGGAGCACAAACAACACAAATTCTGGTGACAAAAGCTTAGACCGACGCCAGTAGCTCACAAGAAATCTGGGTCAATTTAAGTTTTTCCTCTTTTTAAAAAAATTGATTGCAGTCTTTCCATCCACTTACAGTTTCTCTACCCCCAGAAAGAGCCTTGTGCAAACCATTTCTTTTTCAAGCCTTTTGCTTTGTTACTGTAACAAAAAATTTCACCCTCAACAGATCATATCTGTGGGATTTTTTTGGGTGGGGTACTTTTTTTTTTCCTTTTTTTGGGGGAGCAGAGGGGGTAAGATCCATTTGTCACAGGCACATCCTTCCTCTTCTTCCTTGCCTCCCATGCCCTGTAGATTCTTCTTGAGAGGGAGGGTGGAAAGGAGGGAAGGTGGGAGGGCAGGGAGGGAGGGCATGAAGTTTTCAGAATCTAAATAATCGAGGCTTATTTTTTCTCTTTTCTCTCTTTTGCATCGATGACACCCACTTTAAGTCATGGTTAGTTCCAGATTTTGAGGAAACTGTCCCAAGATCCTGTTGCCACAGCCATTCCATCGTCCGTCACTCCCAGGCAGCTAACCCTGTTGTCATGGCCAGCCAAGACTCCTGCAAGGAGAGGAGTAAAGATTTGACAATCAGATTAACCCAGACCTTAGTTAGCAGCAGCTCTCCAAACAACTTCAAAGGTATAATACAAGTAGTACTCCATGATGGGATCAGTCCACTTAGCAAACAATCCCAAAGTTAAAATTCAGTGTTATTTCATAGTTCCTCGTGTCATGATTTATGTCACTACTTAACAATGAAACTGCCCATGTAAATATCTTCAATAGAAAGCCAGACTGGTGGAAAACTGCTTACTGGAACAGCAATCCTAAGGATGGAGATCAAATCCCACCACTTGAGGTCAAAGGCTGGAAATTCTGTAGCGAGCAACTCACCTCCTGACTCCTCAAAGCCTGTTTACCATCTACAAAGCACAAGTCAGGAGAGTGATGGAATACTTCCCACTGTCTGGATGAGGGCAGTCTCAACACACTCCGGAAGCTCAGCACCATCCAGAACAAAGTAGCCCCCTCGACCTACATTCCATAACTTCAGTACTTTTGTACGGTGGCTGTGGCATGTACCATGTACAGGATACAAGGCAGCACCTTCAAAACCTGTGACCTCCTCTACCTGGAAGGACAAGGGCAGCAGATGCATGGAAATACAGCTGCCTGCAAGTTCCCCTCTAAGCCATAAACCCTCCTAACTTGGAAATACATTGCTCCTTCAGTGTTGCACGGATAAAATTCTGGTAACTCCCTCCCTAACACCACTCTAAGTATCCCTACACCATTCAGGATGCAGATATTCAAGAAGGCAGCTTGCCACCACCTTCTCAAGGGAGGATTAGAGTAATAAATTCTTGCCCAGTTAGCGTAGCCCAGTTCTGGGCTATGAATGTGAACTAGTCATTTTTTTAAGAAAGATGAAACATAGAAAAAGGAGAAAGCACAATCCATCAATTTCCATTTTCATTTATAATCGGTGTGTTAACTCCATTGACCCGCCTTGGTTCTGTAACATCCTTGTGCCCTCGTGCAACAACAATGCATCAATTTCCATTCTGATATTTTCAACTGACCCTCCAGATTTTTCTGGGAATAGAGTGCCAGATTTCCAATACCTGGAACCTTCTGCCTTTGAAGGAGGGAGAGGGAAATAGAGATGATACATGATCTCAAAAGGAAATAAGGCGGGTTTGAAGGAAATAAACTTGCAGAGCTTTTGGGGAGGGGTAGAGCAGGGCACAATGGGACTTTTGTTCCTTATTCTTTCCTGGGATGCGGTGTTACTGAGCAAGGCCAGTACTTGTTGCCTGTCCCGAACCTGGCTTGCTTAGCCATTTCAGATTAAGAGTCGGCCATATTGCTGCAGACCTGAAGTCACATGTAGGCCAAACCAGGCAAGGACAATAGATTTCCCTCCCTAAAATGTACCACTGGGCCACTCCCTCCCCACACACTGCAGGGATTGTGTGGGGAGGCAATGGCCTAGTGGTATTATCACTGGACTGTTAACCAAGAGATCCAGATAATGTTCTGGGGACCTGGATTGCCACGGCAGATGGTGGAATTTGAATTCAATAAAAATATCTGGAATTAAGAGTCTAATGACGACCGTGAATCCATTGTCAATTGTCGAAAAAACCCATCTGGTTCATTAATGTCCTTTAGGGAAGGAAACTGGCATCCTTATCTGGCCTACATGTGACTCTAAACCCACAGGGATTTGATCAATTGAACACAAATTCCACCGAGCTGCTGTGGTGGGATTTGCACCCACGCTCCCCCAGAGGAACAGCCCGGATCAATCCAGTGGCATTACCATCACACCATTACTCAAGGACACATGGCCTGCTCCTGCTCCTATTTATGTACCTCTGTAGTTGCAGGCTCAGGTTGGTAGATGGAGTCATGGAGCAGGTTGCTGCATTCACTTCTGATACAAAGATGGGTGCGTCTATGACAGCACAAGCTCTGCAATTTCTCTAACATCACATCTGCACACCAGATTGCAGGACATGACTGGGATCAATTTTACACAATGTAACTTGTTTCTTTTCTTTTGTTCGTGGGATGTGACAAAGACTATTAGAAATAATTTTAGCTAAATATCTAAATTTAATTTTATTCATTTAGGGATGTGGCCATGCAGGCAAGGCTAGCATTTACTGTCCAATCCTAACTGCCCTTCAGAAGACGATGAGTTCCCTGCAGTGTGTGGAGGGTAGGAACAGCCACAGTGTTGTTTGGGGAGGAGTTTCAGGATTTTGACTTAGCGACACTGAAGGAACAGTGGTACATTTCCAAGTCAGGATAGTTGGTGACTCAAAGGGAATTTGCAGGAGATGGTACTCCCATGGATCTGCTGCCTTGTCCTTCTAGATGATAGGAGCTGCAGGTTTGGAAGGTGCTGTCTCAGGAGACCACAGTGAGTTGCTGCAGTACACCTTGCAGATGGCACTCATGGCCGCTACTGTGCGTCGGTGGTGGAGGGAGTGAACACTGAAAATGTTGGATAGGGTATCAATCAAGCAGTATGCTTTGTCCTGTATGGTGTTGAGCATCTTGGGTCTTGTTAGAACAGCACACATCCAGGCAATTCTCAAGCACCAATTGTATACCACCAGGGAAAGTAAGCATGCTTTTAATCAGGAGACCTTGCTGCAGTTCCAGCCACAAGCTCAGATTGCTACAGCTCGAAGAGACTTTTTAAATGGACTTCTTCCAAAGCTACCAGTCCTTACTTGTACACCTCCCTGGACAGATCCCAGACTGCAATCGCAACAGACGTCTGGCAGAGGCAAACCGAGACAGAGGTTGCAAACCACTTACCAGCACGGTCGCCTTTCATGGAGTCCCAAATGTTGCAGTTGAAGTCATCGTAGCCAGCCAGCAGGAGACGGCCGCTCTTGGAGAATGCCACTGACGTGATTCCACAGATTATGTTGTCATGCGAATACATCATCAGCTCCTGGTCTGCCCGCAGGTCAAACAATCGGCAGGTGGCATCGTCTGATCCTGTGGCAAAGGCATTCCCATTTGGGAAGAACTGGAGACAGAGAGACAGGGAGAGAGAGAACACGGAGGGCAAAGGGGAAATGCAGAGGGATGGAGAAGAGGGGGACGTAAGCATGAGGGATCACAGGCATATGAGAGAGGGAGGGAGGGAGAGACATTAGCATGTCATCACTTACACAGCTTTCTCCCATTCCTCCTCACTGGCACTTCCAAGGGAGCAGCAGCATATCGTAATCACCATACATTAACTAACCCTCTCTCCTTCCCATTTCCCTATGCCCCTTTACTGACAGAAACAGAAGTCAGCCATTCAGCCCAAGCCTGTTCCACAATTCAGTAAGATCATGCCTCGACTCCAACTACCCGCCTCTGCTCCCCATGCCATCACACCCTTACCAGATTTAAACTTAATTTGCATGTTTTGAAGTATTAAATTGACACTTCACCTCAGCAGCTTTTCTGGGAGACTGCATTCCCATTTGCCAAACCCTTTTAATGAAAGGGACTGCTTTTTGTTTACACCATCACCAGTGTAGTTTTAGTTTTACGGTTATGCCCTGGACTCCTATATACTATGTCCCTGCTCCCATGAGTATAAAAACAAACACACATGCAAAGAAAAATCACCTCCTTGTTCTCTCTTTAATCATCTTTAACATCTTGATTAGTCGCCCTCTTAATCTTTGACACTGGAGGGAACACACCTGCACTCTGTCCTCATAATTTAACCTTTTTAGGTCTTCTATAATTCTGGTCACTCTGCTTCATTCACTCAAGATAAAATACAACCTTACTGAGGTGTGGTTCTCAGCACTGTGTCACAAGCATTTCAATGAATGAGGCTCTTGCTGACATGAGGCTCTATTACCAAGTATCATTATCCTGCCCTACATACTTTTCCTTTCTCCATCAGTGCAGTGATGATCAATTCACCACCTTATTCACTCCAATCTCTGGCAACTTTCTCTTCCTCTTTGAATCTAAAACGATTGCCTCTTGCTCCTGTGGAAGATTTCCTTAAAAACTACCTCTCAAACTCATCTTTTGATCACTCATCCTAACAGTGCCTCAGGAGACACATTTTGGTTATAAAACTTCAGCCTTGGGAAGTTTTGATAGCGCTCTATAAATGTGAGTTGTTGCCACGTTCAACCTAAACCATTATTCACCCAGTTGTGTCTCTCTCACAGTCTTGCAGTAAGGGCTATCCCTAATAGCTCTCACCGACCCCAATGCTTTCTCCCTGGCTGACTCCCCTGGAATGGTTGGGCTCAGAGGGATGCCCTCGCATCATCAAGCCAACTTACACAAACAGCATTGATATCCGATTCGTGGCCAGTGAAAGTCTGCCGGCACATGCTGTCACGCACGTCCCACAGCTTGACCGATGCATCACAGGCTCCCGACACAAAAGTCTTGAAGTCTGGCGAAAGGGAGAGGCTCATGACATCTCCGCTGTGGCCTGTAAATGTGGTCGTCTGCTGCCCAGTTTCAATATCCCACAGGGCACTGTGAAAACAGAAGGTGAAGCGATTTGCATGGGAGGAAAGGCCATGAAGCCATAGATTTTTTTTCTGAAAGTCAATACCTACTGGAAGAAAATTATATAGCTTTTTACTTATAGAGTGAAAAGAAAACTTGCACCCAAGAAAGTCAGACAAAGGCAGCGACAATCTCAAACAACCACCACCCAACGGCAGGGTGGGGTGGGGGGTATTTTTGGCCTCATGACATTGCCGATGCTGGCAAAGCCACATTTACTATACGTCCTCAAGTGTCACTGTTACAGTTGCTCTGTTAAAGTTAAGACTAAACAAGTGGAGAACCTGGAGCACATGTAGAGAGAGACTGCTGGGCCAATGAATTCGTGGGTTGGAGGCTGACATATGGAATACTGCAGCTGTCGATAAAGCCATCTAGAAAATTGATTTGCATTTGTACTTAACCATCTCTGATATGGATCCATTTATCAGGAAATGCCTGACAGATGTCAGAGACTGCGCCTTCTATATTATAATGATAGGACTCATTAGGCTACATTGCTTTGGATCTGCAGAGCTCAGAATGGGCAGAGCTTGACAAGTTACTCTCCTGAAACATTACTGAGCCAGCTTTTTGATAAATTAACAACTTTTGTGTTCTTTCCTTTATATTCTGGTGCGGCACCCCAGAGATGACAAGACTGGCTGAATTTAACTTGCTTGGCAGGATGTGGACTCACGATGCTAAGGCTGCCAATCCAACACCATAACCACATCACAATTGAATCCAACTGCTACCGGACTGGACCAGTATGCAGGGAGAGTCCAAAGACAATAAGTGCTTTGGTTGAAGATCCCACCAGCCTTGTGGTGCAGTTTATCACACATGACTCCAAGTTTGGGCCAAAGTCCACTCAACCCACATGGGGGCACTGGACATCAATGCAGCCCTAAACTTCTTCAGCTTGTCAACCCTAAAAGGTCCAGTCTGCCCTCATTGGTGCATGTAAAAGATCCTGGAATGCTGTTTCCAGGATGACAGGCAAGGCTGTCCACTCTGGTCCCTGGGCCAACATTTATGCCTCAGCTAACAACTTCCTTTAAAAAAAAATCAAGTTATCATCATGTCGCTGTTCGCAGGACCTTGCTGTACGCAAATTAGCTGTTGCGTTTCCTGCATTATTGAAGTGGAGTCACTGTTACAAAGTGCTTCGCTGGCTGCAAAGCTGTATGGGACATCCAGAGGTTGCAAAAGGTACTGGACATGTGCAAACCTCTATTTCTTTTCACCTTCAAATCTACTCCTTCAACCACTTTTCTTGGCCAAACTGACGACTGGAGCCCAAACTGATCAAGCGCCATTTTTCTATCTAAAAGGTGCTGTATCGCTCTTGCACTTTCCAGTTAAATGATTTTGTGGGTTTGCTTCGTGTTAGTTGATGAGCCCAGGTACCATCAAACATCCAGCCACTGGCCATTCCACTGTCTCGCCAAACAATACTTCAGTTGCTCAGTTCCTTCACCTATAAACATCCCTAGTTAGACTTACAACGTAGATCTCTCAAATGAACAAATCAAACCATTCTCTAGCTTGGGAGAGAAGATTAGGTGAAGAGATAGCACCAGTTCAACCCCAACACCATGCGTCCCTCCACCTCAGGTCAATGAACTCACCAAGTTGTATCGCCAGAGCTCGTAACAATCTGGTTATCATCTAGAAAACGGCAGCAGGACAGGTAACCTACAAAGTAACAGATGATAACAGTCACCACGACAACCACTTACTTCCCTGAGATGGGCACGACGGTCAAACAGTGCTTCACCACCATATAAAAAAGGTGGCACCTGCTTGCTAGGACAAACCTTCCAAGGGGGTGGGAGGTGAGGGATTAGGGAGAGGAGAAAGAGGGGGAATGGGGAAGGGGGAAGGAGAGAGATGGGGGCGGGAGTGGGGTGCAGACTCAGAGGGGGACGGGAGGGCTGGGAAGGGAGGGTTTAAAAGGAGAGGGAGGAAGAGAGGAGGGAGGGAGATGGGGGGGAAAAGAGGGTGGAGGGAGAGAGGGAGAGGGGTTGTGGAGAGAGGGAGGGAGAAGACTAAGTTTTCTGCATTGAATATTGCTGAAAACAGAAACATTTTGCTGAAGCTTTTTGCATCTTATACTCAGGACAAAATGCAAGAATGACAGATTTCAAACAATTACAACAATTTATGCTACAGAAAAAATGAGTGCTGCTTGGTTGGCAAACAGCCACTGATTAGCTGAGGCATTGCAATGAAGAAAATGGGGTACTGTAGGCTAAGTTCCTGGGTAACTCAAAAATGGCACAAGATTGAACATGTTCCTTTTGCTTCCAGCATATGAACATGCATTATGGCAGTAATGTAAGTTGAGATGATTCTCCTGGTGCAGTTCTTAATGCACTTGACATTGTTCAGCATCTTCACATTAAGAGCAATCTACTCCTGAGCCAGTTGTTAAGACAAAACCTTGTCACTTGCTCCATTTAGGAGATAGGGGAGAAAGACAGGAACAGTATTAGACCTTTCTGTTCACCAAGCTTGATTTGCTATTAAAGGGCTAACACCCGACAGGGCTAAACTACAGCAGGCAAAGGGGACTAGACACAATTTGATAGGATGTACCTGTGATGACATACAGTGTTCTGCTGGGCAGGACTTGCTTTTACTGTCTGTAAATTATCAGAAGTTGAGAACTGAGAGAAGGTGAGGGGCAATAACAATAACCAAAGATCTACCAAATAGCAAGGTGAACCAACCAGTGGAAAAGGGAAATATTTAGATATGTAAATACAAAAGCAGAGCTTTTTTTTAAAAAATGTATCGGAAAAGGTGGCAGTACAGGTGAATAGCACCATTAAAATCGATCAAAAAAAAAATCAAATACATTCCATTTACTATCTCATGACAAATAATAAATGGGCATTGGGATCCGATTTTATAATTGGAGGCCAGAAAGTACAAAAGCAGTTATGCTGAATTGCCAAACGCGCATGTTCTCATGTGGAAAGGTAGAAGAAAAAAAAGCTGTCGGAACATTGCTAGTAAATTCAAAATCCTCCTCCACTGATATAGTGGGCCATTCAGCCCATCGAGTCAGCTCACCATTCATTGCGATCACAGCTGATCTGATAATCCTCAACTCCCTCTTCCCACCCTTCCCCATAACCATGGATTCCCTTACTGATTAAAAATCTGTCTGGCTCAGCCTCGAATATACTAAACGACTCAGCCTCAACAGCCTTCTGCAGTGAAGAATTCCACAGATTCACCACCCTCAGAAGAAATTCCTCCTCATCTCTCTTCAATGAGTGACTCCTTACTCAAATTATGCCCTCTGGTCTCAGATTCTTCTACAAGGGCGAACAACCTTCTGCATCTACCTTGTCAATCCCCTAAAAATCTTATACGTTTCAATAAAGTTACCTCTCATTTGTTCTAAATTCTGACCAGTATAAGTCCAATCCACTCAACATCTCATAAGACAGTCAGTCCATACCGGGTGTCAGGCTGGTGAACCTTCTCTGGACTATCTCTAATACCTTTCCTTAGACAAGGAGTCTAAAACTGTCCATAGTTTTCCAGCTTTGGTCTGACTAGTGCTTGGAATTTTTTTTTAAGCAAGACCTCCCTATTTTTATACTACATTCATTTTAAAATAAAGGCCAACATTCCATTTGCCTTCCCTATTACCCTTTGAATGTGTATGCTAGCTTTGTTTGATTTATGCATAGGGACTCTCAAAGCTATAGCTTTCTGCAGTCTTTCTCTATTTAAATACTCAGCTCCTCTTTTCTTCCTGCCAAAGGGTATAACCTCACATTTTTCCAAAATATGTTCCACCTGCCAAGTTTCTGTCCACCCACTCAACCTGCCTGTATCCCTTTTAAGATTACATGCTATCCTCACCACTGGACTTCGCACCTTATTTTTGCATAATCTGCAACCCCAATGGTAGTACATGGACTTTCCTCATCCAAGCAATTAAAATTGTAAACAAAATAGGGCAGAACTGATCCCTGTGACACTCCAACAGTTACAGGTTACCATTCTAAAAATGACCCCTTTTCCCAACTCTCTATTAGTTAGCTAATCCTCTATCCATGCTATTACCCCCAACATCATGGACTCTTAATAAGCAGCCCAACATGTGGAAACCTATCAAATGCCTTCTGAAAATTCAAGTGTATTACATACATTGTTTTCCCTTCTTATTCTGCTCATTATCTCCTCTAATTCTAATAAATTTGTTAGACATTATTTCCCCTTATGAAGCAATGCTGACTGTTTGATAATATTAGGTGTTTCTAAATTCTCTGCTACTATATCCTTTATAACAAAAACATTTTCCCAATAACATGTTAAGCTAGCTGGCTTATAGTTACCTGTGTTATTTAAAAAGGGAAAGAGACAAAACAATGTAACATTTAGCAGTTTTCCAATCCTCTGAGACTTTCCAGAATCTAAGGATTTCTGGAGGATTACTACCAGTGCATCCACTATTGCTGAAGCTACTTCCTTCAATATCCCAGAATGCAGGGCCAGAAAACTCATCAATCTTTAACCCCATTCGTTTCCCTAGCACATTTTCCACAATTGCCACCACCTCTTGCCTCAATCACACAAAAGTAAGTTTGCAACAGAATTAAGAAAAGACACCATTCAGCATATTAAGAAATGGAACAAAAATATTGAGACAGTCTAACATTTACTTTATAAAAATTACATATCAATAATTGACAGTTTATGAATTCAATCTGACAGTATATAACATAGGACTTCTGACACAAAATACAGCCTTGGACCTTTCATTTTTATTCTGTAAATTAAGGAGATCTGTATTTTATAATGTAATCAGGCAGAAACAACATAGCTTTGTGAAATGGAAATCAGGTTTAACCTTCTTCTAATGGGATATTAAACGTGATGTAGATAAAGGGGGAACCAGCAGATGTGTTGCATAATGGGCTACATCGAAGGTTATTGTGGACAATAAGAGCTCAGGTGCAGGGGGTAGCATGTTGCTACGGACAGAAGATTTACTTGTTCACAGGAAGCAGATGAATCTTTTTCAGTTTGGCAAGATCCAATCAGTTGTGCACCACAGGGACCTCAACTAATTACAATTTATACAACTGACTGGGATAAGGGACAGAAAGTATGGCCGCTAAATTTGTTGACAACACAACGAGAAAGTATATACAAAATGCAAAGATGACATAAGGATGCTACAAAAATATATAGATAGGTTAACTAAGTTAACAAAGATCTGACAAATGGAATATAATGTAGTAAAACGTGAAATTGTCCATTTTGGGCAGGAAGAACAAAAGAAGCATGTTACTTTGTTAAATGATGAGAGATTGCAGTGCTCTGAGGTGCAGAGGGATCTGGGTGTTCTTGTGCATGAAGCACAAAAGGTTAGTATGCAGGTAATTAAGAAAATTAATAGATCAATTATTGAAAGGACAATTGAATAGAAGAGTAGGGAGGTAATGCTTCAGTTATATAGGGCACTGGCGAGACCACATCTGGAGTACTATAAACAGTATTGGTCACCTTAAAGAATATAAATGCATTGGAAGCAGTTCAGAGAAGATTTACCAAGTTGTTTCATAAGGAGAGTTTGGACAGGTTAGGTCTATATCCACTGGAGTTTAGAAGAGCAAGAGATGACTTGATTGATACAAGATCCTGATGGGGTCCAACAGGTAAATGTGGAAGGGATGATTCCTCTTGTGGGAGAATCTAGAAATAAGGGTCATGGTATAGAAATAAGGGGTCACTCACTTAAAACAGAGAGGAAATGGAAGTCTCTGAAAAAAGGTGATGGAAATAGAATTTTTAGATGTTTTTCAGGTGTAAGTGTCATAGAGTCATATAACATGGAAACGGACCCTTCGGCCCAACCAGTTGATGCTGACCATAATCCCAACTAAACAAATCCCACCTGCCTGCTCTTGGCCCATATCCCTCCAAACACTTCTTACTCATGAACTTATTTAAATGTCCTTTGAATGTTGCAACGGTCATTGATTATTTGTAAGCAAAGTGGCAAACAGTTACCAGGAGTAGGCAGGAATGTGGAATTGAGGCTACAATCAGATCAGCCATGATCTTATTAAATTGCAGAGCATGCTTGAGGGCCCGAATGGTCTAATCCTGGTCGTTGTTTGTATGTTCGTAATAGTTTGCAAGCAAACGCTCAAAACTGTTCAATCCTTTTATGCTTTCCTTTTATTCTGATGTCTTTTTTAATTAGGTTACTAATTATGATGACTTGTCTTATGTATAATGTCATCACAATTCAGCACATACTACCGTAAGGATTGTTAAATAATCTGATGACCTATCAATTTATTTTACAACTTTAAAAGACACAGATTATATGGCAGGTGGACTATTGTGACACTTTCCTGTAATTAGATTTTAGGGAGTATTTCAGAATCTTATGCAGTTAGAGTAGACTCTCTAGAATGGCAGTAGGACAAGGACTACTGGATTACAGAGTGAGTCATCAAACTGTGGATCCCCACCTAAAAGCAGAAAAGGTTAGGAAGATATTTAACCAAACTGTTCAATAAAACAAAGGTTTTCGATTGAGTTAACAAAGAGAATGTACTTCCAGTGTTAGGAGGAGCCTGTAAGCAGAGGCGATAGATTCCAAACAATTGGAAGAATTATACAAAGCTGTTGATATCTGGATGCTCTGTCCCAAAGGATGGTGGAAAGAGATTCAATAGGAAGTTTCAAAAGAGAACGAGATGGATAGGTATAAAGAGAAATAGTGTCATGCCATAGTGGGATTATTGGGATCACTTTCAACAGACCACATGGGCATAATGGTCCCAATGTCTTCCTTTAATGCTTTATTATTCTACATTTCTACAACATGTGCAATGTGGTCACGGAATGCATATTAGATGTTAGTGAAAACTGTGCACAGACTGTAACAACAATCAAGCATTTTTCAGCTCCTTTGGTAGACTCTTCCCAGTATTACATGCAATTTTAACACACAGATGGTTCAAGGACCATGAAGCAGGGATCCTATATTTCATTGGCATCAGGTCATTACAAACAGGCAGGAGATTGAGGATGAACAAGGAACTGTTTACACTACGTACATGGAACAAAGCCTATGGGCTACATTAGCCTGACAAATTCCTTTGTCTACCTGCTCATCAGCTCTCTTCTCAAAAGACATCCTTCTTTTCCAGTGCTAATCCGTTCAACTGTCCCAGCTGCTGCTGGAGGTCTCATTACACCAGAATATAAACTAACAACCTGCGTTATAACAGGAAATAGTTTCTTAAAACGCCCACTGTTCAATTCCAATCAGCTCTCTTCACAATCTCTCATCCTCTGTGTAAAGAAATTCTAAATGGCCCCAGTGAATCCAACCCAATGTCCTTTTGACTGCATTATATGGAGATCCATATTTTTCTTTAACAGGACATGGGCATCAATGGCTTGGTCAGCATTGCTGCCCATCCCTAATTGCCTCCATGGCTTGCACTGCCATTTCAGAGGAAGATTAAGGGTCAGGATCTAGTGTAACATGCAATAAGGACAGCAGAAGTCTGATCCTGAAGCATGTTAGTAAATCATTTGGGTTTTTATAACGGTCAGGCTCACCAAGGCTCTTTCAAGTCCAAATTTTACGAATTGAATCTAAATTGAACTGGTGTTCCCTAAAAATTCAGCCTAGACCTCTAGATTATGATTATTGTTATGCTACTACCTCCCCCTTACTGTCCTGTGGCACAATACCAGAATACGATCCCCCACCTCCCCCAGCAGCCCTACATGGCCCATGTCTAAACCCTGCAAGCTTTTTTTTGGACTAAATCCTTTGACCATATTTCTGCTCACTATAGCACTGTCCTCATTCTGGCTCTGGGGAATTTCCCAGAGCTGCTACATTGAAGGCACTGTATCAAGTGAAAGTTACTGTTGTTCCTCAAAAGATGAAACCATTCCCCACATTATGAGGTTGATCCTCCTAGATACCCAATTTTTGAAAGGTCAGCCCTATTCTAATCCCTAGAGCTTCCTCCCAGGCCTGAACCGTCCCCCTTGATGCCGCAGTGACCATAGTGGAATGCCTCACTTGAACAAGTTGCAGATTTTAGTACAACTTCAGGGAATATGGTGGATCTGACCCTCTTTCAGGCAGGGTGGATGCAAATGTGGAACCATCTCCATCACCTAGCACCACCCCTACGAAACAAAACTTGCAGCACCCACCTGTGTGTCCTGGCAGCTCCCTGCTAACACGCACATTCCCCTCACGGGTCTTTAGGCTGTAGATAGAGCAAATGTTGTCCAGGCCACCACAGGCCACGTAGTTACCAGACGGGGCATAAGCACAAGTCATAACCCAAGATGACCGGAGTGGAATGGCATGAACCTGTGCAAAAGGAAGCAGTCGATTGTAAAGATATGCAAATATCTGGGACTACAAATATACATTATTCAGCCTGTTACACTAACATTCAGAAAGACTGAGCAACTGTGCACGTAAATGTTGAAAAAGGACTTCTTTCGTTTCTAATGTGATATCCACTCTAGACAAACAACCCATCAATATTCATCACTGATGCTGTCACATGCCATCCAGTATGACCAAATGCCTTCGTGAAAGGATGGATAATCTCTTACAACACACACTGGTCTGGAAACAAGGATACCACAAGAGTGGAGCCACCTCTCATCAGAAATTAAGAGTTCAACTTCAACAATGAACCATCCACAACTCTCAAATGAAGAGAATTCCAAAGATTCACAACCCCTCAAGTGTAGCAATTTCTCATCTCAGTCTTAAAATGTTTATCCCCTTATCCTGATACTGTGCCCCCATGTTTTGACTCCTGGTTCACAGTTCATCAAAACAGAATGCACTCTGCACGAGAAGGCAAGAATGAGGGACCTGGGTTCGATTCCACCCTTGGGTAACTGTCTGTGTGGCAAAAATAAGCTGCTCCAGCAGGTGTTTATGGGACCTGCATGCAAAAGGGAGATGGAGGAGGGATAGGATTTCACTGCTTTGAAAGTCACAGTTCTTGATGTCCCATGAGGAAATGTGAGAGTAGACACTGCTTGGCATGGCATGATGATATGCTCACATTACATGAACAAGTCGAAATGCACTGGCGCTTTGGGTCATTAGTGGTTTGTGGGTATCACTGGCTACACTAACATTTATTGCCTAATTGCCCAGAGACAGACAATCTGAGTCAACCATCTCGCTGTGGGTTTGAAGTCACCTGTAGGCCAGACCGGGTAAGGATGACAGATTTCCTTTCCTAAAAGGACATTAACATTTCTCTATCTGCCACAGGGAGGATTTGAACACATGTCCTAGAACATTAGACTGGAGCTCCTGTTTTTACAAGACCACTGACATTACATCTATGCCACCACCTTCCATCTACCAATGTATTCCTTACTCCAGACATTGTAACTCGGCAACTGTTTTTATTTGTGAGACTCAGGAGTAGGAAAAACAGCATCAAAACTACATAGAACACATAGCGAGGGACCAGTTGGCCCAACGGGTCTGTCAGTATTTATTCTGCACACAAGTCTGCTCCCATCTCCTACTATTTCACATCCTAACAGCATATCCTTCTATGCCTTTCTCCATTATCCCAGCAGACAACATACTTCCCCAGCTCACCTCTTCCAAACATTGCTAGGTTCTGAAAAACATAACTTGGTCTACTTCTCAATTTTCTGCTGACATTGTTGAATCTCTTTACCTTGCATTCATCAGGACATATGCCACCAACATAAAGAGAAACAACACTTTATACTGTATAAGAAGGGAGCAGTTAGCAAGTGCAGTCTCCTTAGGGAATGTCTTGACCAATCAAGATACCAAACTTTGTTTAAATTAACTGTCAGTCATCACCTAACTGGTGCATGCACCATATCAACACTTCAACCCGAGCTTACTTGTCAATCAACACTTCGTTCTCAAACAGTATAAAATATTGCTCCTCTTTACATTTCTTTTTCATGAATGTTTTAATGATTGTAAGATGAAAAGCTTTAAAAAAAAGTGCCTTTTTTTTTCCAGCAACGCTGAAGTTCTGAACTAGCAAATTGCATTTAATGCTGTTTCTTAAATCTTAAACACAAACTTCAGCATCAGGCAGTATGTTGCTGGATACAGAACTTGGGAGCGAGGGCTTCACAACAACAAACAAAAAGGTGCAAATTGCTTGGGAATCATGTGTGTCCGTCCTACACAAGACACAGAAGTAACCAGTGCTGCAGCTTGGTAAAGCTATCCCCAAATTCTAATCTAGTTTTAAGGCCACATTCTATTATATTTCACTTACGGAAGTAGGTGTCACTGGCAATGCCAGCATTTCTTATCCATCTCTAATAGTCCCTGAACCGAATGGCTGGCTGAGCCATTTCACAGGACAGTTAAGAGTCAACAACATTGCTGTGGGTCTGGAGTCACATGTAGGCCAGAGCAGGCAATGATGTCCCAAAGGAAATTAGTGAACTAGATGGATTTTCATGATAGTGGACGATGTAGTCTCATAGCTACTGTCACAAATTTTATGAATTGAATTTAAAGCCAGTTGCAGTGGTAGGATTTGAACCCAGGATACCAGAGCTTTAGCCTAGGCCTCTAGATTCCTCATGCAGTGACATTATGTCATTGTATCATTACGTCACTGACCTTGATGTAGCACAAGTCACGTCACTGCACTTTAATACTTCGAAAGAAAGTCTACCCTAATAATTGTAAAACATACGCGGACTGCCACTTTAATCAACTACCCTGTCAGAAAACCCCCAAGTTATTTCAGTGCAATCTTCACCTTCACTTAGGAAACTATCTGAGGCAAATCTAAAAGTTAGGATAAAGACTGCTGGTTAGCACAACGAACACTGAGTACGATTAAAGAGATCACACTGTAGCTTGCAATCTGCCAAAAAAACTACCAAGATAATGATCCCATTATGGGGCGGATTGGTGAGCTGAGCACTTCCTAATAAAAGATCTCGTTGTGAGACAACACCAGCTTAGGGTAACAACAGAGACCCTTCGCCTCAGTTCTCCGAGGGAGGGTGCACACACATATTCCAGCTAATTCCATTCCTGCATCCACACCTACCATAAGTGAGGTTGGAAATCTGGCCTGGTTCATCGGAAACAGATTTAAAAAGTGCAGCAAGTTTCTCTGCATTGTACAAGGGAATTTTAACATCACAGAAAGCTGCTGTATGGCCCATCATGCCTACATTGGCTCTTTAAACAAGCACCATTATCTAGTGCCAGTCTCCTGCCTTTCTTCTCATACCCTTGCACATTACTGTCACCCAGATAACCATCCAATATCCACTGGAATGCCTCAGCTGAACCTGCCTCTATGCTTGCAGGCAGTGCATTCCAGACTCTATCTACCTGCATTTTGACAAAGCTCTTCCTCACATCACTTTAAATCTATGCCCAGCTGATCTTGCTCCTTCTACAGGAGGGAACATTTCTCCTACCAATGAGCTCAGATACCTCTGTCAGAATGGTCAAGGGAAAGCTCTCTCAGCATTTCTGGGACCTACCTTGTTTGTGGTGTAGCTGTCCCAGATGATTAACTTTCCATCCTGTGATGCACTGACTAACAGTCTGTCGGATTAAGAAAAAACACGAAAGTGAATGGAATTAAGAACAGTGAAGACATTTTTGAAACCGCGGCAGCCTAAAACCCCTTCTCCTCACCTCCCCATCGCACACTGCAGTAACATGTTCAAAAAGAACTTACATTTTTACAGCACGTTTTACTTTCTCAGGACCTCACAAACCAATTCTGAGCCATGTCAAACACTATAACCACTAGTCATAAAGTCACATAGCATGGAAACAGACCCTTTGGTCCAACCAGTCCGCGCCAACCGTGTTCCCAATCTAAAACTAGTCCCACTTCCTGCCCTTGGCCCATATCCCTCCAAGCCTTTCCTATTTATGTACTTATCCAAATGTCTTTTAAACACTGTAATTGCGCCACTTCCTCTGGAGGTTCGTTCCACACACAAACTACTCTGTCTAAAAAAAAAATTATCCATGTCCTTTTTAAATTTTTCTCCTCTCACCTTAAAAATATGCTCCCTAGTTTTGATCTCCCCAACCCTAAGGAAAAGACCCCTTGCCATTCACCTTATCTATGCTCCTCTTGATTTTATAAACCTGTACGAGGTCACTCCTCAACCTCCAGTGAAAAAAGTCCCAGTCTTTCCAGTCTATTTTTACATCTCAAACCCTCAATTCCCAGCAACATCCTGGTAAATCTTTTCTGAACCATCTCCAGTTTAATGATAGCAAAGAAAAACATCATTAATCATTTGTGTCCTAAAAATTCAGTCCCAAATGATATCAGGAAGTTTATTTTGTGTTTTAGGCAGGGATTCTTTAGTTTCTGGAGCAGAAGGAAAACAGGCATGTATATCCATCTACAGAAGAAATTTCTTTTAACTCAATCAATTCTCATCTTTTTAATTCCTCCATGGCTTCTCGACCCACAGTGCCCCACTTCTTGTTTTTAATCTCTGATCCAACCCTACAATCCTCGGGCATTTCTGCACTACTCCAGTTCTGCCCTCCACAGCATTCCTAGTTGCCGTCATTCCATCATTGGCAGCCCTGCCTTGGGCCCCAGGTTTTGCAATTTCTTCCCTGTCTGCCTTTCTCCCTTTCCTGAAAACCTACTTCCTCCAACCAGCTTTTGACACAAATCTCAAAATCTCGCATGGCTCAATATCAAATCTTGTCCAGTAACCTGCCAAGGACACCTCTGGAATTTTAAAAAAAATTAATTCATGGGATGATATTGCTGGCTGTGCCAGCACTTATTATCCATCCCTAGTTGCTCAGAGGGCAGTTAAGAGTTAATCGCACTGCTGTGGGTCTGGAGTCACACTGAATCATAAAATCTCAATCATGCAGGAAAAGGCCATTCAGCCCATCGAGTCTGTACCAACACGGCAAAGGGAATCCCAGCCCCTACCCTAATGCTGTATCCCACACATACCATGGCCAACCCACCTAACCTGCACATCTTTGGACTGCTGGAAGGAAATCGGAGCACCTGGAAGAAACCCAGGCCAACACAGGGTGAATGTGTAAACACCATACAGACAGTCGCTCAAGGCTGGAATCAAAGTCAGGTCCCTGCTGTGGCAGCAATACTAACCACTGAGCCATTGTTCCACCCTATGTTTGCAAGATGAGGCAAAAACAGCATATTTCATTCTCTAAAAGGACATTACTGAATCAGATAGGCTTTTGCAACAATCAATAATGGTTATACCGTCGTCATTGGACCAGCTCTTTAACTGAATTCAAACTTCTCAATTTGCCACAGTGGGGTTTGAACCCATAGCCACAGAGCATAAACCTGTAGCTCTAGATTGCTAATCCAGTGACACCACTAGGCACCACCTTCCCAATACAACCTCCACTGCATTAAACGTGCTATACAGACACAAGGTGTTGCACAGACCTGGAGTCAGTTCCCCAGTGCATGGCATAGATCTTAGCCAAGTGACCCCTTAGCGTGCGCCTTGTACGCATCTGAATCCTCCCAACTGGATCGAGGGCCGCTGTAATCTGGAAGAGATAAACACAATATTGAATGCATAATGGTTAACCCTGTTCCAATACGTGTTCAAATTGAGCAAGATCAAAAAGGGAGAACTTTGCCTGGTTTTCCCTGTTCTCGAGACCAGGAACATGTGTCTACTGGCAGCAGTGCATAATTGAGAAAAGTGTGCATCTGGAGCAGATTTTAATGAAAAAGGGAGCCTCCTTGACACAGGATCTTTACCAACTAACATTAAATGTACAGGGGTCGCTATTTCCTGTGATTTAACTCGAGAACTCTCTCAACACACATTCAGAGAATGACATCTCTCAACAAGTCACTCAAAGTGGAGACATAAATCCGTGCTGCAAGTTATTGGAAGATAGCAAGGGCCTTGCAATGAGAAGACCGCATTAATTCAACTGAGTTAAAAACCTATATAGCCCCCTTGACGGTTCAGTAATAAACATGTCGTGGTACAGGTCAAAAATTCAGGGTCTAATTCCTCCTCGTTGCTGAGTTTTGTGCTTTTATGGGATATGGGTACCACTGGCAAGGCCAGTACCTGTTGCCCACCCTTAATTGCCCAAAAGGGTCAACCTCAACGTTGGGGGTTGGGAGTCACACACAGGCCAGTCCGGGCAATGACTGAAGATTTCTTTCCCCGAGAGTGAACCAGATGAGTTTTTATAACAATTAGTAATGGTTGTTGTGGTCACCATCACTGGGACCAGCTTTCCATTCCAGATTTATTAACTTAATTTAAATTACACCAACTGCAGTGGTGGGATTTGAAACAGCATCCCAAGAACTTTACCCTGCGCCTCAGGATTACTGTTTTTGTAACATTACCACCAAAATGAAGCATGAATAACACACAAAGCACCCTTGGGCTCTCAGGAAGGGGGTAGATCCGCACTATTCCCTGACTCCAATGATGTATTGACACATGGTCGAAAGGGCACAGGAGGACACTGGGCAGAGTGGTCAAGCAGGCCAAGATGCCCCATGTCGTCAAACAGCTAGACAACACTGAAGGTTGTCCTGTGCATGCAAACAGAGTGAGAACGGGAGCACCAGCAAAATCTGACCCACGCTAACCAACACCTTCAGATGAGAGGAGCAGAAAGCAGACCTAAGAAGCAGCCCCACAGATATCGAATGATTTGCACTACACTCCATTCTGGCAAATAGGGTGCTACTCTCTAGGTAACACAGTCAATGACAAATTTTACCAGTTAAAGACACTCTATAAATAAAAATTTCCAGGACACCTCACAGGAGCACTACAAAACATAATCCAGCCCTGAGCCATGTGTTTCTTAGGTTAGATGACTCAGGTTTGGATGTAGAGATAGGTTTTTAAGGTCTTTTTAAAGAGGACAGGGAGGTAGACAGCCAGTGAGTTGAATGGTAAGAATTCCAGAAATTATGGCCCAGCTAGTGAAAACATAGCTGCTGAAGGCAGAGTGATGGATGATCAACTAGATCAGAATTATATGAACACACATATCTTGGAAGGTGGTGTGGGTTGAAGCCCTTGAAAAAGATAGGGTAGGATGAGGGATTGGAAAACAGGGATGGAATCCTGAAAACCCACTCACTGCTCAACTAGGAGCCAACGTAGGTCAGCAGGAACTGGTCAGGTGGTAGGGGAATGGGACTTGCTGCAGGTTAATACGTAGGCAACACTAGCTTGAATGACATGAAAGTTTCATGAAGGTTAGTTTGTGGGAAACCAATCAGGTCTACCAGTTATGTAGGCATCGTTGACAGTTTCAGCAGCAGATGAGCAGGACCATGGGCAAAGTGGGGAATCATAATATTATTTCAATGTTGGCGCCAAGGTGTGCCATAAGCTCATCTTAAAGTCTAATGTGACACTGGAGTTCCAATCAGGCCATTTTAGTCTGAGTGCTGCCAGGGAGAGGGATGAAGAAGTTGGTAGATGAAGTGCGGATCAAAAACAATGGCTTCAACCATTATGTATTTAATCTTGTGAAGCAATATCTTCAAGAATGAAAAACTATTTTTAATTGGCAAAGTTTCCAACAGAGTTGATGAACAAAGAAGTCTGGGAGTACAGATCTATAAATTGTCAAAAAGGGGATGGCAGGATATGTGCCCTGCTAAAATTTAGGAAGGAGTTGAGCAAGAAACTCCTTCAGAGGGTCAAAAATCTTTGGAATTCTCTACCCCAGAGAGTTATAGATATCCAGTGTTGAACATATTCAAGATCAAGAGATTATCAGGAGCCTGGAGAATTAAGAGATACAGGAATAGTGCAGGAAAGTGAAATTGAGGTAGATGACCAGTCATGGTCATATGTGGGCAGTCTTGAGCCCTGTACCTAAAGGAGGATGTGAATGGCCTTGGAGAAAGTCCAGAGGAGGTTTACAAAAATGATTCCGGTATGAAGGGCTTCTCATATCAGCAGCGCTTAAGGACACTGGGTCTGTAATCAACGAAGTTTAGAAGGATGAGCAGGGGATCTCATTGAAACTTGCAGAATATTCAGAGGACTGGGCCAGAGTGGACATGGAGAAGATGTTTCCGCTAGAAGAGCCTAGGACCCAAGGGCACAGTCTCCGAGTGAAGGAATGACCCTCTAGAACTGAGATGTGGAGGAATTTCTTCAGCCAGAGGGTGGTGAATCTGTGGAACTCATTGTTGCAGCAGGCTGTGGAGGCCAAGTCATTGGGTGTCTTTAAGACAGGAATAAGTAGATTCTTGATTAGTAAAGGGGAGTCAAACATTATAGGGACAAGGCAAGAGAACGGACTGCAACTGTCTACATAATAAACTCCTGAATTTGCTACACCACCTTGCAGGGTTACCTCAAATCAACCACAAGAGTGTGAGGGGAGATGAGGATGGAAAGAAAGCAGTCTGGATCAGTTACAGCACTCACCTGGGTCAGTGTGGAGTCTCCACATGCTTTCCTGGCATCCTGAAAAAAAAGAGTCGCAGTTAAAAAGGTGCATATGCCAAGTTAACACCTGCTCATCATTACCTTTCTCCAACCCTTGAAACACATTCCCCAGAGAACACAGTCTCACATTGCTCCAATCCAACTGTCATACAATCACAGAATCCCCAGTGTAAGAAACAGGCCATTTGGCCCAACAAGTCCACATTGATCCTCTGAACAGCATCCCACCCAGACCCATCCCCCCTACCCTTTCCCTGTAACTCCACATTTCCTATGGCTAATGCACCTAACCTACACATCCCTGAACACTATGGGCAATTTAGCATAGCCAATCAACCTACTCTGACATCTTTGGACTTTGGGAGGAAACCAGAGCACCTAGCAGAATCCATGCAGACACAGGGAGAATGTGCAAACGCCACACAGGCAGTCACCCAAGGGTGGAATTGAACCTGGGGTCCCTGGTGCTGTGAGGCAGCAGTGCTAACCACTGCACCACTATGCTACCCATTTAAAAGTCAGTGGAAGCTTGGGGCACAAAGTAAATTTGAAACCTAATCTTTAAAAGAAGATTCAAAAATGGAAACATTCAGTCTTCGCTTCACTTGATGAACAGACCCACGTTTTCCAATGAAGAGCCAAGTAAAGCAAGGTCATCAGTGGAGATTCAGCTTGTGTCAGCTCACATGCAAACAGTTTGAAGGATATTTTGGCCTTGAAGTAGTGGAGACTTCTTAAAATAGCATCACCTGGACTCTAAGGTGGAAAGTCTGAGCATACATTACACAAATTAAGGGTGCCTTTCCAATCATTTAGGTGGTTTAAGGGATCATTTTTATTAAAGTTTTCAAGTATTTAAGGAGATCACAAACTAATAGAGAAAAACTGCAGAAACTACAACTACAGCACAGACTCAAATTACATCCAGGCCTTTCAGGAGTGAAATCTGGAAACATTCCCACACACAGTGGTAGGAGTCTCCCTTTAAGCCACTCACCATCGTGAATCAGAACTATATTATTCTTTTCTCACTGTCTCTGGCGCAAAATCCTGTAATTCACTCTCTAACAGCATTATCACTATTAGGTATTCCTAAACCATATGGACTGCAGCAAAAAGTTTAGAACTCTCTTCAGCTAAGTCAACTTCATTTTGTATCAGGTTGACAAGACTGTTGTTGACCTGGGATGTTGAGAGAAATGGGACAGGGAAGGAAAGGTAAACAACACTGGGTCACAGATCAGTAACAATCTCAGTGGTAGAACAGACTCCAGGAGGCAAAAGGCCTCCTCTGTTTCCTGACCTACAGGAGCAGCCCAGCAGTGTGACAATGGGCTGAAGGCACATTCACAGCATTTCAAATTAGTTTTTCTGGCATCATTAAACATTTATCTTCAGTGGCTGAGATTTCAAGTGTGGGGAAAGCAAGTCTTCTTACAACCCAGTACTCAAACATGTAAAGATCCTAAATGGTTTTGACTAGGAGGATGAAGAACAGATATTTCTTCTTGTGGGTGAGTTCAGAAATAGGAGGCATGGTTTCAAAATTAGGGGTGACCCTTTAAGGACAGTAACAAGGAGAATCTTCTTCTGTCAGATGGTTGAGACACTTTGCAAATCTGCTTCAGAAGGTGGCGGCAGTGGGATCACTGAATATTTTTAAGACAGAGTTAGATAGATTGCAGTACGGCAATGCAAACTAAAGATTCAGTGGCAGATTGGAACGTGGAATTCAAGAGCACAAACAAAATCGACCATGATCTTATGAAATGGCACAGCAGGCTCAAGGGACCAAATCCTACTTCTGCTCCTTTCGATATGTTCACATGTACACAAGGCCCTGGTAGAGGTTAGATGCCAAGTCAAGTTGCCCCTGTTGCTGTCAACACGGAGGAGTTCTTGTCCATCCAAGTGACCTTTCAATAATGCCTGTAATAACAAGCATTTTACCAGAAATTTTCCATGAATGTACATCACTGCCAATGAAGCAATTCTGAAGCATGCTCCTACAAACTGCAATGAGATAAAGGAGCAGATATTTGGCTTTCTTGATGCAGAATGAAGGATATGCATATGCCTTTGGACACCAGGGAGGAGTCCCAAGATCCATGGTTTCTTTTACCTCCACATGTGCACACGAGGCCCTCTGGTTTAACATCTCATCCTCTAGATGGCCTCTCAGACAGTACACAGTTTTGTTGGGGAGGGGTGGTGTGTGTCTGTCAGCCTAGATTTCAATGCTCAAGCAAAACAAAACTTGGCACTTCAATTCAAGAGGGCTTACAGCATGATGCGTTGAGCCATGGCTGGCACCCAACAAAATTACAGTGAATGAAACTCCAGCCAGAAGTGTGTGTGGATCTGAGCTGTGGACACAATCCCCATAGGGAGAGTGTGAATAACAGTCTAATTCATTTGATTCTGATTATTACAGCTCCGTGCCACTCTGGGTTAGGTCCAACACTGAATGAGCAGCATTCATACCACACTGTTAGCCAATGCTGCACTTTCCAAAGCATCTGTTAGGAGAACATGGTGGTATTCTTACCCCCTGACTTTTTAGTGGGTAAATCAAAATGTACACTGTAATATTTTGAGACAGTGAAATACCATAAAGAAGAATAGCTGCTGCTCCTCGAAGCTTTGAGCTAGTTTTTAATTGCAGACTTGATTGACAATGCCAGGGAACATTTAGGTTCTGGCACTATAGATACCACTTTCATCCTGCAGCTTGCTCAGTGCCCATGCCTTAAACAGTAGGCAGTCCCAACACGCCTGCTTGACTTCTCCATTAATATTCACTCCCTGCCTCATCTGCCAACTCCTTCCCTTCTTCAAGAGAGGGAGGAAAGGGTGGGGTGGAAAGGGTAGACTCTCTAATTAGTCAAGTAAAATTACTTTGGGAGAGGTGTAACAATTGACAATGATTTCACATTTCAACAAAGCTTTGGCCAACTCCCAATAAAACGCTCTGTATTCTTGGCTTTCTGCTTTGCTCACCCGTATTTGGCTCCGTAGCTGCTCTGCCTCTTGGCGCAACTGCTCAAGCTCACTCATGGTCTCCGGTCAAAGCTAATGCCTCTAGTCCACTTCGACTTGGCCAATCAGAAATCTGTCAAGAACTGGAAACAAAAAGATGCAGATTAGCCACCTGTCTAAGCACAAGAAGGGGCACCGAACTCATAGCAGCAGTGCTTTACAATAACCGGTGAAACAGTATTCATTTCTATGGCATCTTGCACGTCCTTAGGACACCCTAAAGCACTTCATAACCAATGAAGTGCATTGCTATTGTAACACAGGAAATGCAGCAGCTAACTTGCACATGGGAAGCTGATAAGTATTTTATTCCAGAAAGCCAGGGTGAAGCTGTTTGAGCCTTTATTTACAGAAATACAGATTACAAACATGCATCTCCAAACCCAATAATCACAGTTTTAGTCCATTCCCATTCACAGAAGTTCAAGTGAAACACCAGTTTATGACCACGACCTGAATACACAGAATCCTTAACTACAGTAGATTATACACTAATTCTTCAACTAGCAGCGCCAGGAACCTTTTCAACTTGACTTGAGGGGACAAGTGGGGCTATAACTTGAAATTTCATCCAGAGATAGCACTTCTGACAACGCAGCACCCTCAGTGAACTGTAGTAGGAATGTGGGTCTGGACGGGGACTCAGCCCCACAACCCAGTGACCCAGGAGAGAGTCTGCATCATCCAGCTTTGCAAACCATGGCTATCAATGAGCTGACAGGCACCACCCCAAGCAGTGTGGCCCACTTCCTACTTCTGAGAACATTTAAAAGCAGCCGCTCCCTTTCGACAAAAAACGAAACCCAGATCTGGAACAAATCAACGAGATGGCGACTGGCTGTTTAAGCAGAACAGCTGCTCCCTCTGCAATGGCCCTGGATGACTTTTACAATGGAATTGAGAGATGACTGATGAGCCTCAGCACAGGAAGCATTTACATATGACAGTTACTCTCACACAGACTCTTCCTCCCGACACGTACAGACCATCTTGCACTCAGTCTAGAGTGTGAATCCAGAAATAAAATTGCTATTTTTCCTATTTCTTTTTGAACCAAAAGAGAAAGGAACATTTCAATGTAATTTAAATTAAGCCTGGGGAACATCACTCATAAAACGAAGACATCTGAACTGGGTGGAGTTGCACAGCCAAGGGAAGTGATGGTGAAGTGTTGAAGGTTATTCCTCGCCTGTTGTGCAGTTCGAACGGCACAGAGGCCAATGCTACGCACCACTGTGCAATGTGTTTTAAACTCAGCAGACCTACAGCCATCAGCATTTCACCTGCAGCCTCAAACAAACTCTCTCCTGAATTTGAACTGAATTTGAAAAGATCTGGAACTGAGCCTTGTGAACCTCTGTTCTGCTTTGTTGAAATCTGGCTGATAACAACCAAGTGCTGTTACCAGCATCCTGCATGAGTTTTTTTTGGGAGGTGGGCAGGGAGGGGAGCTGAAAGAGAATGCTAAGGCACAGAGGGAAACCATCTGCTTAAGCACCAGTTTACCTATTTTTCCTGTTTACGTTGAATTTGCAGAAAACCCATTAGCTACCATCCCCCATCTTCCAGAGGCTGAGAAGGAAGCATTGTAACAGAGGCCACAAACCAAACACACACAAGCAGCAATACTCAGCCAAAAACTGTACAGTTATTAGTACTCTCAAGAAATAAGGTAAAAAGAGCAAAGTAGAGATGGAGTAACAGGTTCTGTGCTGGAGCTGTTCCACCAGTCATGGGGGCATTTGAGGCAACTTTAGAATATCTTCATTGCAGTGAAAAAAATATCAGGCTATAAATTCAAAACATTTCTGATTTCTTCACACGAGACATGAATCAGCCAATTTTAGGCCGGATAAGTGAAACAGCCAAAGCCTTTTCATACATTCAAGTCAGCACACCACTCCCGCTATATATAGCCCCCAAATTCCATTAGCATCAACGGAAAGAGAAGTTTAAATGAAAAGGGAGGCTGAAGGACTTAATGGGAGAACAGAAGAGGTCTCATGTTTGAGTACCAGACCAGCAGAAATCTAAATATGACAATGACTACATGAAAGGATTATGTCAATGAGTGAGCAACATGTAGAAAATACCAACCATATTTGAGGACCTCAGTCAGACCCTTCCTGAAAATAATGTCCAACTGTTGTTTATTTATAGAGAAGGCATCCACTTTATTTCAAGGATGGCCTCAGGGGGTTGATGCAAAACCATTTGCTCCAGAGAAAAGCCATCAGGGTTGGGGAAACTGAGTGCCACATTGCAGGGGGGGAGGAGAGAATGCCAGTAACCTCCAATGGAATAGCTCCAGGGGGAACTCAAAACCCACCACCTCAATGGGGGCAAATTCCAAAGGGATTCAACAAGGATTGCGTAAGCCTGAATAAGCATTCACCCTAAACAGGAACTGCTCATCGTCTGTGGGTGGAACTTCAAACAAATTATTTTTTTCTTAAAAATTACTGTTGACAGTGGGGGGAAAAAAAAATCACAGCAAAATGCTGACAGTGCTCAAATAAGTCAGCAATGGAGGAAGTGAACAAGTTGTTCTCCTGAGTGCAGGTCCAACATTGGAGTTAGAAGGTGTAAGACAGACACAAACACCAATCATAAGGGAAGGGAGAAAGATGGAATTCCATGGAGAAAAGGTGAACAGACAAGACAAATTACGGATGGAACAATGATACACATCATATTAGTCAAGTAACGGGTGGAGGTAAAAGATTATAGCAATCCGAATCACAGTTTGGGCCGAAGCGGCTTCACCTTTCACCCATTACATGCTCATTGTTTAACACTGGTTTCTCATCACCATTCTTAAAATTCACATTCTGGTTTTCAAATTCTTCCATGCCCTCACCCCTCCCTGTAATTGTCATGTAATCTTCTCCTGCCCTCCAATTCTAGTCTCTGGGTCATCTCAGAGTTCCACAGCTCAACCACCAAAGGCTGCATGTTCAGAGCACTGGGATTCATTCCCCTTGCTACTCACTTTCAGACACTTGGTGAAAGACAAAGCCTGTCCTAAAGTCTCACGAGCCAGTGTGCAATTTTGTTTGGTAGAACATTCCCAAGGTTCTTCACAGGAGTGCTAACATGCTCATGGAAATATTTAAACGCAAACTGTTAGTATTTTACATACTAAGAAATATACAGCACAGGGAAAGGCTATTTGGGCCAAATAATCCTAGCTGTGTCCATTCCTCACGATGAGTTTCCTCTCATTCTTGATCTAGAAGACAAAGGTGAGGAACAAAAAAAAAGTGAGATTTGAAGAAACCTGCAACTAACAACCCTATTCAAAGATAAGGATCGTACAGGAACTCCAGGCAAGGCCAATTACAGAAGCACCAAGTATGGGGAGGGTTACAACGAGGAACTGCACACCTCTCAGGCTCAGGGCAGGTCAGAGAGAGTGAAACACACACTAAATCACTTTCCCCAGTGTATGACTGCACTGATAGCAGAACCCTAACCAAATTAAAGCGCATTACTGCAAATGTTGAAGATCTAAAGAAAGAACAGGAAGTGCTGGAGAAATTCAGCAAGCCTGGCAGCATCTGTGGAGGGAGCCACAAAGTTTAAGGTTCAGACTGGCCAATATAACTCTTTGGTATTTCTCTCTGCAGATGCCGTCAGACACGCCACGTTTCTCCAGCAACCTTTTGGTTTTATTTCAGAATCCTAAGAAATTTGCCATCAATTAACCTTGTAAAAGACCTTATTCAAGTTTTGGTAGTCAAGGAGACTGTACTAACAGATCAAGCAGTGTAAGTTAGGAGCAAGAGGCCATGAAAACCACCCCCACTCCCTGTCAACCCACCCCCACCCCAACTAACAAACACAAGATAATATCAGGGTCATTTCTACTAACCTCAAAAGGTCAGTTACAACAAAACAGCAACGATAAACTGAACTACACCATGTGCATGTGCGCACACAGAAACATGATCTGAGGGTACGGGAGCAATTCACTGTATAACAGCATCAAGTCAATAATTTGGATTCCGCTCCATCTAAAGCAACAAATAAAAACACTTACTCAGGCCAGTTTGCAACATAGCTAAACAAAGAGGGCAGACTAAGGTAGTTTACAGTGCAAGTGTATTGGAGCTGGCACTCGGAGGTGAGTGAGTGCTTGTATCTGTTGCTGTCTTGCCACAGGCCAAACTCAACAATTGGCCTTTTTGTGTCCAGATGCAAATGGTAGGTAAGCTGATGACTGCTAACATTAAGGGCCATCATGAAGATGACACTGGGCCAGAGGGTAGACAAAGCGAGGCAGGAACTAAGCCCACTTGAGTTCCAGCTAGTAGACCGTCTGCAGGGAACTACCATTAGTATCATAAAACCAAAAGGTTGTCCACTGAGCTCTGCTGTGAGAGAAGATCTAGGCTCAGATGATGTAGAGTTCATTTAGGTAGAGGCAAAAAAACAGCAAGGTGAAGGCAACATTGATAGTGGAGAGAAATCAGAGTTAATGTTTCAGGTCCAGTGACCCTTCCTTAGAACTAGAAATATTGGTTGAAGATACCAAGAACTGCAAATGCTGGAGTCAGAGTCAACACAGTGTGGAGCTGGGGGAACACAGCAAGTCACACAGCATCAGAGGAGTAGGAAAGTCGACGTTTCGGGTCGGGACCCTTCTTTAGAACTGGCCCCATGTGTTGACTAGAAACATTGGTTACCTGGATTCAGGGTGGATACATTAGCAGGAATGACAGTAAGTAAGCAAGCAATGGCAGACATTTGAGGAGGGAATTCATGACGCTCGGCAAAAATACACCCCAGAAAGAAGGGAAGATTGTGAAAAGGATAAACCACATATGACTAGCCAAGGAAGTTAAGGAGACTATTAAGTTGAAAGAAAAAGCATATAAAAAGAGGCCAAAGTCAGTGTCAGTCCCGAAGACTGGGATAAATTCAGAATCTAGCAAAGGAGGACTAAAGAAATAATAAAGACAGTGAAAATAAACTGAGTGCAAGCTAGCAAAGAATATGAAAACTGACAACAAGACTTCATTAAATATATAAAAAGGAAGGGAGAGGTCAAAGTGGACATAGATAGGCCACTTAAAAAATGAATCTGGGAAGACGGTTTTGGGGAATAAGGAACTGGCAGAGCAGTGAAACAGATATTTCGCATCAGTCTTTACAGTGGAAGATACCTTGAACATTCCATTAGTACCAAAGAATATGGTGGAGGAATTAAGAAACATCACTAAAGAAAGAGTATTAGACAAACTATAGGTCTAAAGGCAGTTAAGTCCCCTGCCCCTGATAACTTTCATCCTAAAATCCTAAAAGAAACAGCTGCAGAGATAGTGGACGCGTTGGGTTGTAATTTGCCCAAAACAAAATCTTTGAAGAAGTACTAGAGGATTGGAAAACTGCCAACGTGACACTCCTCTTCAAAAAGGGAGGGAGGTAACAAGTAGGTAACTATAGGCCAATTAGCCTAACATTGTTGGAAAAGTACTGAAATCAGTTATTAAGGAAGTAACAGCAGAACATTTGGAAAATCATAATCTAATCAAGCAGAATCAGCATAGCTTCATGAAAGGGAAATTGTGCCTAATTTATTAGAGCTTTTCAAGAAAGCCTTGACCAAAGTGGATAGAAGGGAACTAGGTGTATTTTATTTGGACTTCCAGAAGGCGTTCAACCAGGTAACTCACGAAAGGTTAAGTCATAAAATAACAGTCCACAGCATTGGTAGTAGTACATTGGCATGCATAGAGCATTGGCTAATGATAAGAAAAAGTGAGTCAGGCTAAGGGGTTTCTCAGGTTGGTGACCAGTGATCAATGGGTCTACAATAATATATTAATGATCTGAATACAGTACGTTCACTTCTTTCCTCCAAACGTGCAGACAACATTAAACTAGGTGGAAAGGCAGGTTGTGAGAGGGATATAAACAGTTTACAGAAAGATATTGATAAGTTAAGCAGCCAAAAAATTGGCAAATGAAGTATAACATGGGAAAATGCGAAGTTGTTCATTTTGCAAGGGAGACCAAGAGAACAGATTATTATTTAAAATGGAGAAAAACTGCAAAAAGCTGCAACACAAAGGGACTTGGGGGAACACAAAACTAGCACACAGGTACAGCAGGTAATCAGGAAGGTTAATGGAATGTTGGCCCTTATTTCATGGGGGTTGGAGCATAAGAGTAGGGAAGTCTTACTGAAACTGTACAAGGTGCTGATAAGATCACATCTAGAGTACTGTGAGCAGTTTTGGTTCCCGTTATTTAAGCAAAGATATCATTTCATTGGAGGCAGTTCAGAGAAGATTCACCAGGATGATCCCCGGTGTGCAGGGACTGTCTTATGAGAAAAGGCTAAACAGGTTGGGACTCCTCTCACTGGAGTTTAGAAGAATGAGAGATGATCTCATTGAAACGTAATGGATTCTTAAGGGGCTTAACAGGGTAAATGCCGAGAGGATGTTCCCCCTCATTGGGGGGTGGTGTTCAGGACCAGAGGGCATAGTCCCAGCTTAAAACAGCATCAACTTAAGACAGAAATGAGGAATAATTTCTTCTGAGGGCTAAGTGTCTTTAGAACTCTTTGCCACAGAAAGCTGTAGGGACAGAGTCAATGTGAGATAGATAGATTCTTAGTCAGGGAATCAAGGGTTACAGGAAAGGTGGGGAAGTGAGTGTGGGGATTATTGAATCAGCCATGATCCTATTGAATGCCAGAGCAGATTTGAAGGGCCAAAAGGCCTCTTCTTGTTCCTATGTCTTATGGTCTACTGCTCCTCAAGTCGAAAACAAAAACTTCCATTTATACAGTACCTTTAACATGATTAAGAAAAATCCCCAAAATATTTCAGCATTGACACTCAAACTGGCACAAGCCCATTAGGGAGATACTAGCACAGGTGATTGGTCAGAGGTATATTTTAAAGGATAGTCTTAAATAAAGGGAGAGAGATAGGCTCAGAGGCTTAGCGAAGGAATTCCAGAATCAAGAACCTAAGCAGCTAAGAGTACACCCACCAACAGTAGAAAACCAGGTAGGTGTGAGCACCAGAATTGGAGGAACGTAGAGATTTTGGGAGAGCTACAGAGAACTTGTTCTATCAGGACTGCATTTAGAAATGACCAGTAGTGGGGAAGCAATGACACTGAAGATAAATATTATTTCCCCCCAGAAAGATTAGAGATACAGGGCTAATCATTCCAAAATGAGAGGAGCAAGCACTAAAAAGGGAGAGGGAATTAAAATCTGCTCAACATGAAGCATTTCTCACAACCTTACATTTATTGCAATGAAGCACAAGCCTCCTGGGATAACTCACTTCACAATTCCCCATAGTCTGTCTACCAACAAGGCACAAGTCAGAAATGTAATGGAATATTCCCCACTTGCCTGGATGAGTTCAGCATCAACAACACAAAAGCAGCTCAACACCATTCAGAACAAAGCAGCCTACTTGACTGGCACTACATCCATCACCTTTAACATTCAGCCCCTCCACCACCGATAGTGTACCAACTACAGGATGCACTGCAAAAATTCACCAAGGCTTCCCGACAGCACCTTCCAAAACTATCACCTCAACCATCTAGAAGGACAAGGGCAGCAGATACATGGGAACACCATATGTTCCCCACCAAGCCACTCACCATCCTGACTTGGAAATATATCACCAATCCTTCAGTGTCGCTGGGTCAAAATCTTGAAACACAGTCTCCCTAACAGCACTGTGGCTGTCCCTAGACCAAATGGACTGCAGAAGTTCAAAAATTTATATAGCATACTTATTGCAGTTAAAATGTACCCAAGGTACTTTACAAGGGATGACTATTTAACAAAATCAGACACAAAGTCACGCAAGATACAAGACAAAGTAACCAAAAGCTTGGTCAAAGAAGTCAGTTTTAAACAACATCTTAAAAAAGGAAAAGGAAACGCTAAGAGATTTTGGGAGGGAATTCCAGAGTTTCAGGTCCAGGCAGCTGAAGGTGTGGCCTATGATGGAGTGATTGAAATCAGACATTCAAGAGGCCACAATCAATCAGTGATTAGAAGGTTTTGGGCTGAAGAATAGTAGTAATGGAAAGAGAAACAAGGATGAACATTTTAATAACCGAGCCACTGTTCAATCACGAGTCAAATGAGGATTAAAGTGCGCAAAAGTGATGGGTTACCAGGACTTGGTGAGAGTTCAGATACAGGTGGAGTTTTGGAGACTCTCAGGCTGAAGAAGAGCTGAAGGTGAGAGACCAACCAGGAATACTCCCATCTAGATGGAACAAAAGGCAAAAGACAGTTTCAGCAGATGAGCTGAGGTGGCACCTGGATTGGCCAATATTATGGAAATGCAAAATGGACGGTCTTAGCAATGGTGCAGATAAGTGGTCAGAAGCTTGTGTCAAACAGCTTGAATGTCAAAAACAACACCAAGGTTGCAGGGAGTCTGGTTCGGCCTCAGACAGCAGCCAGGGAGACGAAAGGAGCAGGAAGATCTGGGACACACTAAGATAGAGACTAAAGACAATGGCTTCAGACTTTCACACTTAATTGGAGAAGGTTTCTGCTCACCCAGTTCTGGATGTCAGGCTGACAGTTAATTTCCAAACAGAAGGTTTTGTGAAATGTCTATTGACTGAAGGTTGCTAGGTTGGCACTCTGGCAAGTGACAGTTTTGGCTGCCACATATCAGAGTGTGAGATCAAGTGATTCTCGGTGAGAATTTTCTTTTCTGTCAAGTGCAGGAGCCATTTCAGAAAAAGCAACGCGCATTTGGACAGGCAAACATTTGACATAAACCCAAGTCAGAAAGGCAGGCCGTAAAATGTCTAATCTGCAGCAGGGTCTGACCTTTACTCAGTCAACGTTTGTGCAATCACTTGGGAAGCAGTTAGTGGTATTAATCCTGGGTTTAACTTCAGTTATCAAAACATGAACACACAACAGGCTCATTCAGGTGATAATGCGCTCAACACGCACACCAAGTTATTTGTGGATCTGAGAAGGGAAGAAAAAAGGCTCAGAGGAATAAAAACACTATCTGGCCCCCTGATATGTGGCATCCGACAGTGATATTAACAGCATGCTGCCCCAGCAACCATCCAGTTAAAGGGCAATCACATAGAATCCATTGGCTACTGCTGTGCCCTGTTGCCAAGGATACCCAATTCACACCAACGACGGAAAACACAGCAAACCCACGAAGATAGGACAATAGGTTGTGAGAGGAGGGAGCAGCAACAGTTCTCCAATACTAAGCATTAACAACTCCACCTGACCTCAGATAAAAGGGAACAAAGGCAGACGAGACGGAAACACTGCACAGCCACCAACCACGAACTGGAGTTTTTATGGCACACTGTCTCATTCCAGGACTTGACAGTCAAGGAAGGAGAACTGATAATGAATATCACCTTGCAAAATTCTTCCAACACACAACAATGTCAGGTGATAAGTATGGGAGAGATTCCTGGTCAACCCTGTGCTGGAAAGAGAACTGTTGCCTCTTCTGCCACCATCCATAGCTCCAGATTATAACACACACATATAAGTACATGTTGCCAAAGCAACCCACACTCAGAAAATGAAGTTAAACAACATATAATTCCTGGCTAAGTATTTAAGTGGAGAAAGACCTCAGAAAGCAGCAGAGAGAGATTTGGGGTTCCTTGAATATGAAATTATAAAAAGCTAGCCTACAAGTTCAGAGGTAATAGGGAAAAGCAAACTGACCTTTGGTCTTTATTCCAAAAGGGAAGGAGTATAAAAATGGGGAGATCTTGCTAAAACTATACAAGGCACAAGTCAGACCACAGCTGGAATACTATGAACTGTTTTGGTCCCCTTATCCAAGCAGAGGTAGACTAGCATTGGGGCAGCCGGAAAAGGTTCACTAGGCCGATCCTGGATTTTTTTTTTGGGTTGGGGGGTGACTGTCTTATGATTGGGCCAGTATTCATTGGAGCTTAGAAGAATATGAAACAACCTTATTGAAACATACAAGATTCTTAAAAGGGACGTGACAGGGGAAATGTTGAAACCTAGTTTCGTGTTATGGGAGAATACAGGTCCAGAGGGCATCAGAATAAAAGGATCATCCAGTTAGGACAGGAGAAGAGGAGAAATTTCTTCCAAGGGGATAATGAATCTGTGGAATTCTTTATTATAGGTTGAGGTTGGGTCTGAAGTATACTCGATTTTGAGATAGACAAAATTTTAATCAGCAGGGAAAAGGCAGGAAAATGGAGTTGAGGATTATCAGCCATGATCTTAGTGAATAGCAAAGATTCAATGGGCTGAATGACCTACTTCTGTTCCAGCATCTTAACGTTATGGTCCTTAGAGGAGCCAATTGGACTAGTTGGCTGTACAGTAAGCATTTGTGGAGTTCAGTCTGTACTCTAGCTGAGGAGAGTTCGGGGCTTGGCCGCTTGCCCATCCATGGTGGAGGTCACAACGTTGTCTGCTTTTCAGCATGGAACTCAAGGTGAACTGTTGATTACTGAAGGCCAATTAAGCACGTTACAAAAGGACAGTACATCTACTAGACTAGTCCTAAGATCACCCACCTCTGCTCCCAGTTTTCTCACCAGTTTTGCTAGCTGCTCCCTAGCATCATACTTGAGAGCCTGCTCTTCTTGTGTGTGACTGGGCAGGGAGGGGCAGTAGTCTCTAACTATGGGGTGAACAGAATAGGCCGATTTATCCCTTCAAAAGAAAGGTATTGATTTAGATTGCAACAAAACTTTGGCAGTGCTGGCTGAAATCAACTGTCTGGCCACAATTGGAGAGTTAGACCTACAACCTTACACAAAAAAAAGGTGCAGGTGGCACTGTACAAAGGCTGATGTACATACACTGACTCGCACTAAGTCTCACTCACCTACACTGCAGCCTAGTCAGACAATAACACTGCTACCTCGCAGTGCGAGGGACCCGGGTTCGATTCCAGCCTTGGGCAACCATGTGTGGAGTTTGCACGTTCTCCCCATGTCTGTGTGGGTCTCCTCTAGGTGCTCTAGTTTCTCCCATAGTCCAAACATGTGTAGGTTAGGGGGATTGGCCATGCTAAATTGCTCATAGTGTCCAGGGATGTGCAGGCTAGGTGGTTAGCCATGGGAAATGTAGTGTTACAGGGATCAAGTAGTGGGGTAGGTATGCGTTGGATACTCTTCAGATGGGTGGTAAAACAACAAAGAAAAGGGGTGGCATGGTTAGCATTACAGCCTTAAAGCGCCAGGGACCCAGATTCGATTCCACTCTTGGGTGACTATGTTGAGTTTGCACGCTCTCCCTGTGTCTGCGCGGTCTTCCTTCGGGTGCTCCAGTTTCCTCCCACAGTTCAAAGATGTGCAGGTTAGGTGGATTGGTCATGCTAAATTGCCCATATAGTGTCCCGGAACGTGCAGGCTAGGTGGGCTAGCTATGGTAAATGTGGCGCTACAGGAATTAGGTAGGGATGTGGGTGGAATGCTCTTTGGAAGGTCAGTGTAGACTCAAATGGCTAAATGGCCTCTTTCAGCACTGAAGGGTTCTATGAATTTCAGGTAGCCATTCAACAAGGTTCCACATGGTAGACTGTGTCAAGGTTCCACACTGTGGACTAGTTAGCAAAATTAGATCACAGAATCCAGAGAGAGATAGCCAATTGGATACAAAATTGGCTTGAAGGTAGGTGACAGAGGTTGGTAGTGGAGGGCTATTTTTCAGATTGTAGTCCTGTGATGAGAGGTGTTCTGCAAGGATCAGTGCTGGGTCCACTATATTTTGTCATATGAATGGTTTGGATGTGAATAAAAGTTAGTAAGTTTGCAGATGACACCAAATTAGGTGGTGTTGAGGACAGTGCAAAAGATTATCTCAAAGTACAATAGGACTTGATCAAATGGGCCGATGGGCTGAGGAGTGGCAGATGGAATTTAGTTTAGACAAATGAGGTGCTGCATTTTGGTGAAGGCAAATCAGGGCAAGGCTTATACACTTTATAGTAGGGTCCTGGGAAGTGTTGCCGAGCAAAGAGACCTTGGGGTACAGATTCGTAGTTCCTTGAAAGTGGAATCGCAGGTAGACAGGAAGGTGAAAAAGAAGGCGTTTTGTACTCTTGCCTTTACTGGTCAGTGCATTGAGTATGAGGAGTTGGGATGTCATGGTGCGCCTGTACAGGACATTGATAAAGCCACTTTTGGAATATTGCGTTTAATTCTGGTCTCCCTGCTATAGGAAGGATGTTGTGAAACTTGAAAGGGTTCAGAAAAGATTTACCAGGATGTTGCTTGGGTTGGAGCTATAGGGAGAGGCTGAATAGGCTGGGGCTATTTTCCCTGAGGCCGAGGGGTGACCTTATAGCGGTTTACAAAATCATGAGGGGCATGGTTAGGGTGAATAGCCAAGGTCTTTTTCTCAGGGTAGGGGAGTCCAAAACTAGAGGGAATAGGTTTAAGGTGGGGGGAGGGGGGGTGGGGGCAGGGGCGGGGAGAGAGAGAGAGATTTAAAAGGGACCTAAGGGGCAACGTTTTCACACAGAGGGTGGTGCATGTATGGAACAAGCTGCCAGAGGAAATGGTAGAGGCTGGTACAATTACAACACTTAAAAGGCATCTGGATGGGACTATGAATAGGAAGGGTTTAGAGGGATACGGGTCAAATGAGACTAGATTAATTTAGGATATCTGGTTGGCATGGAGGAGTTGGACTGAAGGGTCTGTTTCTGTACTGTACAACTGACTGTTTTAAAATTCCTACCCTCATTTCAAAATCATTCCAAGGCCTCATCCCTTTCCCACCTGTGTGACCTCCTCCAGCCTCACAACACTTAGATCTCTGAGCCCTTTAACTTCCTTTCTAACAACTTCCTATCAAACAAACTTTCTATGAGGTACCCAGTGACATTTTGCGACATTCAAGGTGCCATATCAATGCATTGTTGTAATGCATTGCAACTGGGATCTGCCCCTTTTCCAAGGAAGAAGCACTTACTCCCGTCTGACACACTCACACTATCACCCCTTACTTCTCAGAAGCTCAGAGCCCTGACCTGCTTGTTCAGTCAATGTTTCCCTCAGCGCTCCAGTCCTTTTCAAAGCTGTGCAGTAAATAAGGTCCCGTGCGCAACGTACATTTATAAAAGGTGTCAAACCACTACCCTTCCCCCAAACCCCTACCACTCCTCAGTGAAGATGCCATGTGGCTTAATCACAATGAACTCCCAGTGCTCATCAGTAACTTCAACTACCAGATGATACGACAGTGCTTTTCTCAGAATATAATGAGGCGG